CTTATATTAAATATGCCCAATTCTCTCCTGGCATTGTCATCTTATAGAGAACTCGCAATCGATCAAGCTCTGCAACAGACTCAGTGATCAGAGCATCGCACTAGAATTGCAAGTTTGTGGGTTCAATTCCTGCCAAAAAGCCTATGTAGTTGCATTTTTTGCAACTGGTCCCAGTTTGGTCTTAGAATGTATGTATTCCTCACTCGAAATTTTCCTTCGCCAAAAATCCCTATAGATTACTTAGCCATTTTAGTCATTGACATCATCAATTTTGTGTCCATACTGTACATATTATTTTTTTAACTCTTCCAATTATTTGAGTATTTCCCATTATATGTAAGTTAGATTCCCCAGAGCATGTGACTGGGGGGACAAGTTTCAACTCAATATAGTTAGGTGTAATATTCAATTTTTAAACCAAAACATTAAATTCAACCCTTCAATCTACATAAATATTTCAACAAAAGTATCTATAAGCAACAATTGTATTGTCTTATACTGTAATACCAGGTAATATAAACACACAACTATGAAAAGGAAAAGTTGTTTTGAATACAGCGTGAGCATAGCCAAAGTCAATCAGATAAAAACAACAAAACTTTACAGTATATATTTGTAATTCAAATCAGGTCCACGATATAGCAAAACATCCAACATTTCGCGATATTAATATTCTTATATTCATCGCATAAAAGCTTCAATAACTTACTAAATCATGTACATAAAAGCTAGCCTATCACATATTTGAAGATTATGAACCAAAAAAGTACAGATTGAAGGAGATTTTACCTTTCGAACTTCTTCGTAGTCACCACAACAAACTTTGTAAAATTCTTCGTTCTCAACGAAGGCTGTGCAACGAAGACGTCGAAAAGCAACTGCTGGCACCAACCGCAGTATGCGCGAAATAATGCGCAGACGTCGAAAACTTGTCAAGTACGTTTTCGTCTTCGTACTTCGTTGTCTTGCTCAAACTCTCTAATCCCTTTCAAGAACAACAAAGTTTCTGACTTCTTCGTAAGTTATTGCTATTGTGTGATTATTTGTGTATATTTGTGGCTTAATGAAGCGTGAATTCTTCAAGTAAAGTTTGATTATTGTGAATAAATAGTCTTGCACCGTGATAAAAGGTGTATTTTTGGATCATATGGGGTCTAGAAGGGATAATGATGGACGGTTGAATATGGATGCAGTAAGAGACGAGAGAGAAGATGTTTCAACACAATATACTGCTGAATGACTCAGCAATGTTCAAATGCCCCCAAAGGCCCACTCTGTTGTTCAAGATATTGATGAACCCCATTCGCCTAGAGTTTCTAGGTCTGCCCCTGCATAAGTGTCAAGGCAAAGTAATGCAGGCATCAGTAGAAGCAAGTTGCAGTTGCAGTTAAGGTGGTGGTCTACCCTAAATTCTCTAAAACAGTATTTTTGCTCTAGTTTAGATAGGGAAGCTTGGCATTTAAAACTAGAAATGCAAAGACAAGAATTAGAACTAGAAAGGAAACGACGATTCGCTGAGATTGCAGAAAGGAAGGAATTGCAAGAAATGGAAGCTAAGTTAGCACATGCTGAGCTCTTGGAACAATTCGAAGTTGATAGTGATGATCAGATCTCCGATGATGGTAACAGAGAACTGAATATGACGAGTCATGACTATGAGGGAAATGGACCTTATGATGATGCGGAATGTCGAGATGCGGAGCAATGTGAAGCGGAGCGTCGAGATACAGAGCATCGAGATGCGGAACGTCGAGATGCGGAACGCCAAGATGCGGAAAGTCGAAATGCGGACCGAGGAGATGCGGAACGTCGAGATGCGGAACGTCGAGATACGGAGCGTCAAGATGCGGAACGTCGAGATGCGGAACGTCGACATACGGAGCGTCGACATACGGAGCGTCGAGATGCGGAACGTCAAGATGCGGAATAATGTGAAACGGAACGTCGAGATACGAAGCGTCGAACCTGCAGTGTGGACGAAACAAGTTAGATAATGTTTATGTTAGATCATCTTCAACCAGCAGTGTAGACGAAATAAGTTAGATAATGTTTATGTTAGATCATCTTCAATCAGCAGCGGGGAGGAAAAAGTTAAATAATGTTTATGTTAGATCATCTTGAACCAGCAGTGTGGACGAAACAAGTTTGATAATGTTTATGTTAGATCATCTTTGAACCAGCAGCAGGGAGGAAAAGTTAAATAATTTTTGTGTTGGACCATCTTGAACCAGCAGTGTGGACGAAACAAGTTAGATAATATTTTTGTTAGATCATCTTCAACCAGCAGCGGGGAAGAAAAAGTTAAATAATGTTTATGTTAGATCATCTTGAACCAGCAGTGTGGATGAAACAAGTTTGATAATCTTTATGTTAGAACATCTTTGAACCAGCAGCGGCGAGGAAAAAGTTAAATAATTTTTGTGTTGGATCATCTTGAACCAGCAGTGTGGACGAAACAAGTTAGATAATGTTTATGTTAGATCATCTTGAACAAGCAGCGTAGACGAAATAAGTTAGATAATGTTTATGTTAGATCATCTTCAATCAGCAGCGGGCAGGAAAAAGTCAAATAATATTTATGTTAGATCATCTTGAACCAGCAGTGCGGACGAAACAAGTTAGATAATGTTTATGTTAGATCATCTTGAACCAGTAGTGTGGACGAAACAAGTTAGATAATGTTTATGTTAGATCATCTTCAACCAGCAGCGGGGAAGAAAAAGTTAAATAATGTTTATGTTAGATCATCTTGAACCAGCAGTGTGGATGAAACAAGTTTGATAATCTTTATGTTAGAACATCTTTGAACCAGCAGCGGCGAGGAAAAAGTTAAATAATTTTTGTGTTGGATCATCTTGAACCAGCAGTGTGGACGAAACAAGTTAGATAATGTTTATGTTAGATCATCTTGAACAAGCAGCGTAGACGAAATAAGTTAGATAATGTTTATGTTAGATCATCTTCAATCAGCAGCGGGCAGGAAAAAGTCAAATAATATTTATGTTAGATCATCTTGAACCAGCAGTGCGGACGAAACAAGTTAGATAATGTTTATGTTAGATCATCTTGAACCAGTAGTGTGGACGAAACAAGTTAGATAATGTTTATGTTAGATCATCTTCAACCAGCAGCGGGGAAGAAAAAGTTAAATAATGTTTATGTTAGATCATCTTGAACCAGCAGTGCGGACGAAACAAGTTTGATAATCTTTATGTTAGAACATCTTTGAACCAGCAGCGGAGAGGAAAAAGTTAAATGATTTTTGTGTTGGATCATCTTGAAACAGCAGTGTGGACGAAACAAGTTAGATCATGTTTATAGTTATCAGATCATCTTGAAGCCGGCGGCGTACACGAAACAAGTTTAAGATAAAATGTTTATGTTAGACTCATCTTGAACCAGCAGCGTGGACGAAAATGTTAAATATTAATGTTATGTTGGACTACCTTGAACCAGCAGTGTGGACGAAAAAGTTAGACTGATGTTTATGTTAGATCATCTTGAACCAGCGGTGTGGACGAAAAAGTTAGACTGATGTTTATGTTAGATCATCTTGAACCAGCAGCGTGAATGAAAAAGTTAGACTGATGTTTATGTTATATCATCTTGAACCAGCAGCGGGGAGGAAAAAGTTAAATAATGCAGTTTATGTTAGATCATCTTAAACCATGCAGCAGTGTGGACGAAAAAGTTAGACTGATGTTTATGTTAGATCATGTTGAACCAGCGGTGTGGACGAAAAAGTTAGATAATGTTTATGTTAGAACATCTTGAACCAGCAGCGTGAATGAAAAAGTTAGACTGATGTTTATGTTAGATCATCTTGAACCAGCAGCGGGGAGGAAAAAGTTAGACTGATGTTTATGATAGATCATCCTTGAAACAGCAGTGGGGAGGAAAAAGTTAAATAATTTCTGTGTTGGATCATCTTGAACCAGCAGTGTGGACAAAACAAGTTAGATAATGTTTATGTTAGATCATCTTGAACAAGCAGCATAGACGAAATAAGTTAGATAATGTTTATGTTAGATCATCTTCAATCAGCAGCGGGGAGGAAAAAGTTAAATAATGTTTATGTTAGATCATCTTGAACCAGCAGTGTGGACGAAACAAGTTAGATAATGTTTATGTTAGATCATCCTGAACCAGTAGTGTGGACGAAACAAGTTTGATAATCTTTATGTTAGATCATCTTTGAACCAGCAGCGGGGAGGAAAAAGTTAAATAATTTTTGTGTTGGATCATCTTGAACCAGCAGTGTGGACGAAACAAGTTAGATCATGTTTATAGTTATCAGATCATCTTGAACCCAGCGGCATAGACGAAACAAGTTTAAGATAAAATGTTTATGTTAGACTCATCTTGAACCAGCAGCGTGGACGAAAATGTTAAATATTAATGTTATGTTGGACCACCTTGAACCAGCAGTGTGGACGAAAAAGTTAGACTGATGTTTATGTTAGATCATCTTGAACCAGCAGTGTGGACGAATAAGTTAGACTGATGTTTATGTTAGATCATCTTGAACCAGCAGCGTGAATGAAAAAGTTAGACTGATGTTTATGTTAGATCATCTTGAACCAGCAGCGGGGAGGAAAAAGTTAAATAATGCAGTTTATGTTAGATCATCTTAAACCATGCAGCAGTGTGGACGAAAAAGTTAGACTGATGTTTATGTTAGATCATGTTGAACCAGCGGTGTGGACGAAAAAGTTAGATAATGTTTATGTTAGATCATCTTGAACCAGCAGCGTGAATGAAAAAGTTAGACTGATGTTTATGTTAGATCATCTTGAACCAGCAGCGGGGAAGAAAAAATTAAACTGCTGTTTATGATAGATCATCTTTGAAACAGCAGCGGGGAGGAAAAGGTTAAATAATTTTTGTGTTGGATCATCTTGAACCAGCAGTGTGGACGAAACAAGTTAGATAATGTTTATGTTAGATCATCTTGAACCAGCAGTGTAGACGAAATAAGTTAGATAATGTTTATGTTAGATCATCTTCAATCAGCAGCTGGGAGGAAAAAGTTAAATAATGTTTATGTTTGATCATCTTGAACCAGCAGTGTGGACGAAACAAGTTTGATAATGTTTATGTTAGATCATCTTTGAACCAGCAGCAGCGAGGAAAAAGTTAAATAATTTTTGTGTTGGATCATCTTGAACCAGCAGTGTGGAGGAAACAAGTTAGATAATGTTTATGTTAGATCATCTTCAACCAGCAGCGGGGAAGAAAAAGTTAAATAATGTTTAGGTTAGATCATCTTGAACCAGCAGTGTGGACGAAACAAGTTTGATAATCTTTATGTTAGATCATCTTTGAACCAGCAGCGGGGAGGAAAAAGTTAAATAATTTTTGTGTTCGATCATCTTGAACCAGCAGTGTGGACGAAACAAGTTAGATCATGTTTATAGTTATTAGATCATCTTGAACCCAGCGGCGTAGATGAAACAAGTTTCAGATAAAATGTTTATGTTAGACTCATCTTGAACCAGCAGCGTGGACGGAAATGTTAAATATTAATGTTATGTTGGACCACCTTGAACCAGCAGTGTGGACGAAAAAGTTAGACTGATGTTTATGTTAGATCATCTTGAACCAGCAGCGTGAATGAAAAAGTTAGACTGATGTTTATGTTAGATCATCTTGAACCAGCAGTGGGGAAGAAAAAGTTAAATAATGCAGTTTAGGTTAGATCATCTTAAACCATGCAGCAGTGTGGACGAAAAAGTTAGACTGATGTTTATGTTAGATCATGTTGAACCAGCGGTGTGCACGAAACAAGTTAGATCATGTTTATAGTTATCAGATCATCTTGAAGCAAGCGGCGTAGACGAAACAAATTAGATAAAATGTTTATGTTAGACTCATCTTGAGCCAGCAGCGGGAGGAAAAAGTTAAATAATGTTTATGTTAATTAGATAATTTTGAACCAGCAGTGTGGACAAAGAAGTTAAATAATGTTTATGTTAGATCATCTTGAACCAGCGGCGTAGACAAAACAAGTTAGATAAAATGTTTATGTTAGATCATCTTGAACCAGCGGCGTAGACGAAACAAGTTAGATAATGTTTATGTTAGATCATCTTGAACCAGCAGTGTGGATGAAAAAGTTAGATCGTCTTGAAACAGCAGTGTGGACGAAACAAGTTTGATAATGTTTAAGTTAGATCATCTTGAACCAGCAGCGGGGAGGAAAAAGTTAAATAATGTTTATGTTAATTAGATCATTTTGAACCAGCAGTGTGGACGAAGAAGTTAAATAATGTTTATGTTAGATCATCTTGAACCAGCAGCGTAGACGAAACAAGTTAGATAAAATGTTTATGTTAGATCATCTTGAATCAGCGGCGTAGACGAAACAAATTAGATAATGTTTATGTTAGATCATCTTCAACCAGCAGCGGGGAGGAAAAAGTTAAATAATTTTTGTGTTGGATCATCTTGAACCAGCAGTGTGGACGAAACAAGTTAGATCATGTTTATAGTTATCAGATCATCTTGAACGCAGTGGCGTAGACGAAACAAATTAGATAAAATGTTTATGTTAGACTCATCTTGAGCCAGCAGCGGGAGGAAAAAGTTAAATAATGTTTGTGTTAATTAGATAATTTTGAACCAGCAGTGTGGACAAAGAAGTTAAATAATGTTTATGTTAGATCATCTTGAACCAGCGGCATAGATGAAACAAGTTAGATAATGTTTATGTTAGATCATCTTGAACCAGCAGCATAGACGAAACAAGTTAGATAAAATGTTTATGTTAGATCATCTTGAACCAGCAGTGTGGACGAAACAAGTTAGGTAATGTTTATGTTAGATCTTCTTGAACCAGCAAAGGGTAGGAAAAAGTTAAACAATGTTTATGTTAGATCATCTCGAATGAGCAGTGCATGTGGATGAAAAGGTTAGATCGTCTTGAAACAG